TTGCAGGCACCTTGCACCTGTCTGAATACTATTACCTGTCTTTTCTTTGGCCTTCCCTCCCCTAGGCTAGATGTCCCACTTAGTACTTTCCTTTTTGACTTTCACATGCAGTATTTTAGTTTTTCCAGTGACACCTTTCTAGCTGTACTGGGAAGGGAAATGTGGAACCAGAGCTGACAGTGCAACCAGCACAGTGTAAATCACCCTGGCTGTGAGCTACGCAGCACCCATGAATAGATGGAAGAGTTAGCAAGTAAAAACAGCTGAAGGATGGAAAAAACCCCGAAGTGTGAACTTCTGACTTCTGTTTTTCCACCGTAGTTTTCTCTTTTATGATTATCTTTCTTCCCCCCCACCCCCATATACCTATCTTTACGTTCCAAGATGTCATGGGATTCTTTAGCAGTTCTGAAATATAATTTTTTGAGTCCACAAGCAGACATCTTCCGGTTTAGTTAAAAAATCTGAAAGTGGTCCCTATCCACCTAGACTTTCTTATTAGCACAATAAAAACCCCAGCGACACCCTTGCTGCAGATCTGAGAAAAGGGCCTGGACTGTAGATTAAAGAGTTAGCCTGGACCAAAAGGGTCAACCTCACTGAGACTTTTGGAATCAGACCAGGCTGAGGGTGAGCAGAATAAACAGGAAAATCAAGTTCCTTGTTTTATGTCATGAATTTCTTAGCTAGGAAGCTTTGTTAGAACAAATGTGTCACATGTTTCCATTATTCTGTTTTCATATTCATCACACACAAAAGGGAAAGTTGTAGAACTCAGACATGTTCAGCCTAAGAGAGAAAATGAGAGTGTTACCGTAACAATGGATCCGGTGCAGAGCTGGCCAAGAATGAACAAATTGTGAAAAACTGTGTTTTTCCATGAACCAGGCACACTGCACGCTCTTCTTCACAAACTGATGTGTGTGAGTTTCTGCTCAGTCGTGTCTGACTCTCTATGTCCCCACAGACTGTAGCCTGCCAGGCTCCTCTGTCCATGGTATTTCCCACCCAAGAATACTGGAGTGGGTTGGAGTTTCCTTCTCCAGGGGATCTTCCTGTCCCAAGGATTAAACCTGGATCTTCTGCTTTGCAGGCAGATTCTTTACCACTAGCACCATCTGGGAAGCCCCCACAAACTGATATGTTAGACCAAATACCTTCAAGCAAAGAGATAACTGTGGTCCTAGAGCTGAGCATGTGAGAGCATCACCCTTAGACGCATGTTCCAAAGACAGTTTCAGTTTAGGGTACTCACCTGCCTTCTCTTTACCCTTCGTGTCTGCCAGTCCACTCCGATCTCCTTGGTTACTGCAACGTACTGCATGTAAGGTTTTCCAGCACATGTAAATCACTGTGGTTTTTCAACATTTAGGTAATTATAGTTTTCCTATAGAGGGGAAATGTTCACCTTAGATCCTTCCTATCTTGCTACTGTTTCTGTGTCAAACGAATGTGTCAAACTTTATGTTTTTTTTTAAGCCAAACATGCCATCCTCTACATTGTTTTACTAGAAAAGAATTTCAAAAGGCGAAATTCTTAATATTTAAAGAGAATTTATGTGTAATAAATATATTTATATTTATATGATTATATGATAAATATATATGTTTAAATAGAAAATATTTATAGAGAATTTATTTATTCATTTATAAAATACTTTTAAAATTCAGACACTGTTCTAGGCATTGGATAAATGGTGAATAAGAATTCCTCACTGCCCTGCCTGTCTGCTGGGGACTCATACTGTTAACTTATTGTTGCATTTATTTGTAAACACAATCACTTATGAGAATATTAATGGGCACTGATTATTCAGAAAATAATTGCCTGCCATGCGAAATGCCACTGTTTATAATCTCATGGTGTATGCACATGTGCGTGTGTCTGAAAGTGTTTAAAAAGAATTGAACTGTATAGTGTATGTTGTCAGTAATATTCACAAAACTATGAATTTAGATTAGGATTTTGTACTGTTATTAAATGCAATAAATTTGATAATAAATTCATTTCAGAGGCACAGATGAGGCAATATGCAATGTGGGATCCTTTATGAATTATATCTGTGGTAGGACTAGGTGAGAAAAACAATAACCTGAAAATGATGAGTGACGTGGATTTAGGCCACCAAGGAGGCCAAAATAGAAATTCTGTCTATTGCCCTGTGAATTTATGTAGAAAATCAAGAACTCACAGTTTGCATGGTTTTCCTTCATAACTTCAGTGGTATAACTGGGGAAGATCCAGGGGAAAGACATCTATCAGATGAGAAAGTAATAATCAAATACTAAATTAATTTCTTCAAATTTTAGAGAAAAGGGAATAACCACCAGCCTAATAAAAAATGCCTTGCCTTTTTATTACTTGGGGAATCTCAGGTAAAATCTGAGACTATAAACATTCACTGAAGTTGGTAACAACAAATCTGGCCATATAAATTTGTGTTGAAAGCATCTCCCTTGAACTAAAAAACTTACTGCAATAACATTTATTCATGAATTCCAGCACTAACTACTGATTTCTGCATAAACTCAGTTTGTGTGCAATAAAAATGTGTAATACACAACATTAGAGGAAAGAAACGGACTCTTCAGTTCAGTTCAGTTGTTCAGCTGTCCCAACTCTGAGACCCCATGGACCGCAGGACGCCAGGCCTCCCTGTCCATCACCAACTCCCGGAGTTTACTCAAACTCATGTTCACTGAGTCAGTGATGCCATCCAACCATCTAATCCTCTGTCATCCCCTTATCCTCCTGCCTTCAATCTTGCCCAGCATTGGGTCTTTTCAAATGAGTCAGTTCTTTGCATCAGGTGGCCAGAGTATTGGAGTTTCAGCTTCAGCATCAGTCCTTCCAATGAATATTCAGGACTAATTTCCTTTTGGATGGACTGATTGGATCTCCTTGCAGTCCAAGAGACTCTCAAGAATCTTCTCCAACACCTCAGTTCAAAAGCGTCAATTCTTCAGCGTTCAGTGGACTCTTGGTTGAGAGTTATTTTAAGGTGAAACATTTAAACATCAGAGAGATCCTTTGGTAAAATGGCCAAGTTTGAGAATGCTTTCTTTTCCTATGTTTTCAACTAAGATGTAAACTGTGCTTTTACTGAATAGAGGCAGGAGTTCTATAACAATTTCAGTGTGGAATAGACTCTGTTTATTCATATTATTAATTATTGTATTCAATGTTATATACAGAATATGCAACTTGTAATTACCACTTTTAAAATCTGTGCTTTTGGAGAAAGATGATTATCAGAGTGAGTGCAACAGCTCTTCACCTATGATTGATTCCAAGTTGCAAAGAAAATAGGTTGGTCAGATTCAGTGATACTATTATAGGAGAAAGATCTGGTGCCTGGGATAATTATTTTGCCAGTGCTCTTTGAAGATTTGGAGAGGAATGACAGCAATAGTCAAATGAAAGGCTGGCAAAATTAAAATTGATGATCACATTACTTATTATACTAAGGCTCATACATTATATACTCAATGAGAGGAACCGTAAAATACAAATAGGAAAGCCGTCCATTCTGCTGATCCCTAATTATACCTTTTTTTCCCATCTGTGTCTGTTCCAGTACCTTAACTCATTCTAACATAGAGGGAAAGAGGTTTCATTAGGATTTAAGAGGCAACTTCAGGGATTTTCAAAATGCAAAAGGTAGTACAAATATGAGATCACACATTTCACCACTATTTTTTGAAGGGTCAGACCTGAAGTGTCCCAAAGGTTATACCAGAAGGGTCCCCAAAACACCCAGGATTATGAAGTGTTGCGAAGGTTAGTACAGTATAAGGAGAATATATGGTTCTTGCTCCAAGATATTAATAAGGGATTTTTGGTTTTGATATGCCAAACACTGGTCTAGGCACTGACAGGTTTGGAGCGCACAGTAATTAATTCTTTACTCAAGAACAGAAACTAAAGTTCAAATGATAGAATCAGTGGGAAGGAACCATATTTTTTCAAGTCCAAAGTAAATAAACAGGTGAATAGACAATGTACTTACAAGTTGTAATTGATGGGGTCACATAATGGAGAGTACCTGCTAGGGAAGGAAGGGGTAAAACTCACTAGCTTTAGTTTGGGGGTCATGGGAAAGTAAGGTTTGTGAAGACCTAGTGTTAAGGAAGATGGGAGACTCAATACAGAATCATCAGTTGATGCTATAACCAAATGTCCAGCTCTAAAGACTGACTTGTAGATGACTGTGGCCTTCTCTGTGCAGTTTAGTGAGACCTTCTATAAGGCAGGGGTTTATGTTCTTAATCTCCCCTCAAGCTTTGCCCCACAAACACACATACTTATTTTATTTTCTTTTTTTACATCTTTTTTTGAAACTCTGTTTAAAATGGGTACAAATTAGAAATTATAGCATTAATAAATCAACGGCCCATAAAGGGCTTAGATATTTGGGTACTGATAGATTCCCAGAGATTTTATGCCAATTGGGACAATTTAATTTTCATAAGAAGGTTACCAACCAGCAATTTTCTATTTTTCTACTGTAATAGGATATTTTCTTTTAAAGTGTACCTAACTTTTTAACAATAAAAAACTGTACAGTAATATAAGAACTACTAAGTACTTTTGCAGCTCAGAAAGATTACCAATTTAGGCAAAGGGTTGAATCAGAATTGTTATTTTTCCCAAAGTATTGCTCCATAAATATGGAAAATGTGGAAAACCATATTCAAAGAGTTGTTTTCTTGGAACTCTATATGCTTTAGATAAAAGGAATCAAAATTTAACTGGTATTAAATGAAGTTCCCAAGATAGTAACAGATGAAGAAAATTAAACCCACCACACACATACTTATTTTAATACATTTTGATGATTTTTCTACTTTGATTCTTCATTTCTCTCTTCTCTCTGAGATTTTTAGCTATTGATGTGGCCTCTTTCGCCTCCCCAACTCCCTTTCCCCTCAAGCCTTTATCAGTTGTGCGTATTATTGCAAAATAATCTTGTGTTTTCGTCCTAGAATGCTTCTTTTAGCTCTTCTGACAACCTCATCTTTCAAGATTCAGCTTAGTCTCTGCTCAGCGCACGACTTCTCTGATTGATTCAGATAGGAGATGGTGACCTTCCCTCTAGCCTACCACGACTCTTTGTAAACACTGCAGTTACAGCGTGTTCTGCAATTTGGTGAAATTCTTGTCTACATTGCCATTTCTCCACCTAGACTGAAAGCTCTTTGAGAGTAGCAGTCTTCTCACCAGCACCTGGTTCAATGCATAACAGGTAATTGGTTCTTAATAAATAATAAATATTGACTGACTAAGTTTTCCCAGGTGGCTCAGTGGTAAAGAATCTGCCTTCCAATGCAGGAGATGCAAGAGATGCAGGTTCAATCCCTAAGTCAGGAAGACCCCCTGGAGAAAGAAATGGCAACCCTGGTTCAGTGCATAATGTATAGTTGGTCCTTAATACATATTAAATATTTACTGACTATAATTTCAGCATTCACTGAATTAAAAGAGTGAATGGCTATAAGAAGGATTGATTGTGTAGTACCTCTAGAGCTATACTGATTAGCTAGCTGAACTCACTTAGCAGTAGGGATATTCATAAGAAATTGACATTTTTTTCAAGTATGGAATCTACTTAGGAAGTTGAAGAATGAAAACAACAAATCAATACTTGAGAAGAGGCAGGAAGCTAAAATTTCTTGATGCTCAAATGCATAGAAACCTGAGTCAGGAGAAAAGTTAAAAAACAGAAGTGACCTCAGACAATGTTTAACTGAACCTTCAAAGAGAACTTGCATGAACTTTTCCGTGGCCTCCCACAGGGTTACTGGCAGAGGACAAAAATCCAAGCTGCCTCTCAATCCTGTGCCGTGTCCTCTGTTCTCACTGCTGTGACAACTCCATTTCCAGGGCTTATACAACCAGCAGAGAATGCAGATAATGTGTTTCTCTTCCTTTTTGGCTCTTATGAATAATTTTCAGCAGCTCCCCCAATTGCTTTCTGTTGCCCTGCTGAGTTCATCTTTGAAAGGACATCTTGTTACATAGTAGAAAGAATCACCCAGTACCTTTCCAATATCCCTTCAGTCAATCAGCCAACAAGTTATTTATTCAGCAGTTGCTGATGTGACCAACACAGGGTTAATATGATGGAGTTGGCTGCTTTTAAGCTCAATGCATCAATTAAATAGCACTTTGCATGACTTTGACTTGGCATACCCCGAAGGACAATATTTTTCAAGGCCACTGTGAACTCAGTAATGGGAAGCTCACTCTGTAATTAATTTAACATGAAATCCTGTATTTTGGCCTGATTCTCAGTGTAGGCTTTAAGGCTATCAGATACACAGATTCCAGGACTAAATTCTGTCCTCAGATGTTCAAAGACCATATCCATCAGCTCTTTATGTCTTATGATTGAAACAGTACCCAGAATGCAATAGAATGAGAAAGATATTCTTCTTAATATGAAGTTTTGAATATTTTTATTACACTGAGAATTCGGGACCAGGAGAACGGTGGGAGTGAGAATGATGCTTTGGAGTTTGTGACAGATTTTGCTCATGCTTTGGCATCCAAATACCCTAGCTTCTGTGACTTAGGTTTCAATTGAAATATAAAGAAATGGATTAAACCTTTGGACGGGGGTTATCATGTAATTCAGACTACTAAGTCATATGGCTTAGGCACTGGGCCTGAGGAGTTGCTATCACAGGGGAGCAGTTTGGTTGGGAGGAGAGAGGATGTAGGGACATAACCATGTAAGAGGCCTGAATGTATGTATATTAAAAAAAATTGTTTGCCTACATATCAAGTTTGCTTGGGCTTCCTATCTCCTTGGAAGAAAAGTTATGAACAACTTAGACAGCATATTAAAAAGCAGAGACATTACTTTGCCAACAAAGGTTCATCTAGTCCAGGCTATGGTTTTTCCAGGAGTCATGTATGGATGTGAGAGTTGGACTCTTAAGAAAGCTATTCAGTTCAGTTGCTCAGTTGTGTCCGACTCTTTTCAACCCCATGAACTGCAGCACACCATGCTTCCCTGTCCATCACCAACTCCCGGAGATTACTCAAACTCATGTTCATTGAGTCGGTGATACCATCCAGCCATCTCATCCTCTGTCATCCCCTTCTCCTCCTGCCCTCAATCTTTTCCAGCATCAAAGTCTTTACTAATGACTCAGCTCTTCACATCAGGTAGCCAAAGTATTGGNAGTCCTGAATATTCATTGGAAGGACTGATGCTGAAGCTGAAACTCCAATACTCTGGCCACCTGATGCAAAGAACTGACTCATTTGAAAAGACCCAATGCTGGGCAAGATTGAAGGCAGGAGGATAAGGGGATGACAGAGGATTAGATGGTTGGATGGCATCACTGACTCAGTGAACATGAGTTTGAGTAAACTCCGGGAGTTGGTGATGGACAGGGAGGCCTGGTGTGCTGCAGTCCATGGGGTCACAAAGAGTTGGGCACGACTGAACGACTGAACCAAACTGAACTGGGCTTCTTATATTTTTATATACTAAACCCTACAATTTGTGTCGCTTAGGACCTTCTGCATGTCAGTTATTACTTTCAGGCCAAGATAGAGCTTTGGACATTATTGCAAGACTGAATTCCATACTGCATAACTATGTGAATTAGTCATAGCTCATCTGATAATAGAAGTCTAGCAATGTCAGGCTCTTGGGTAATACTTGAATGGAAACTGCCTGGGAATATGCTTTGCATTTTGGTTAAAAACATGAGTTTGGAGTCAGGTGATGTGAATTTGGATCTGGATTCTGTCACTGGAGTTATGTGACTTTGGGCAAGTTATTTAACCTTCCTGTACCTTAGCTCCATCATCTGTGAAAGCTGTGATAGTAGTACAGTTATCTCTTGATATCTGCAGGGGATCAGTTCCAAGGCTCTCCGTGGATACCCCAGTTGGCAATTACCCAAATCCCTTATATGAAATAGCAACACTGTCAGCCCTCCTTCTCCAATGGTTCTGCAAATACAGATGCTTCCTTGATAGCTCAGCTGGTAAAGAATCTGCCTGCTATGCAGGAGACCCTGATTCGATTCCTGGGTCAGGAAGATCCCCTGGAGCAGGGATAGGCTACCCACTCCAGTATTCTGGCCTGGAGAATTCCATGGACTATATAGTCCACGGGGTCGCAAAGAGTCGGGCATGACTGAGTGCTGTTCACTTTCACTTTCAAGTATGTCTAACTTCAAGTTGTTGTAAAGATTAAGTGGACTAAGATAATATAAATGTTTGGTACATCAAAAAAAGCTGTATAAATATTAGTTATTATTATTTATAAGACCTACCTAAATTTTTGGGTATGTTTTTATTTAAAAAAAATTGAAATCTTAGACTACTTATAAATAACATTGAACTCAAGGCATCTATTTTGAATTGATTCAGTGCATGAAAAGGTAATAAATTATGTATTCCTGAGCATTTATGATTTAATTGGTCAGAAATATACATAATTGTAATTGCATGACCCTGTACATTGGAGTCTTTTTGTCATTCCAAGTTTTGTCAACTTCTATTGGAATATCACACCAGGGGAATGAAAATGTTCTATGACAAAGATGTAGGGAAAAGTAAGAACTGTAAAAATGATTTGAAATATCAATAAAGCAACCATAAGACATAAGTGAATCCATGAAGTCCAGGTAAGGTTTGTATTTAACAAGGCAGTGTTAAAAGGAACAGATATCTCCTGAAATTCCCAAGAAAATCTGTGATGACTATGATTTCAGTGTGGAATCAGAAAAAAAGAAAATGTGAAACAATAAGTTCATGAGCTCTTAATAAGCAATGTGAATGAAAAATTTGCTGAATAAGAAAACTCTAGACATTTTAGGAAATGTCACAAGTCTAATTTAATATAATCAGCTTACTAAATTGGAAAGTATAAATATAATTTAAAATTCTGTCTTTAGTCTGCATAAAAAGACTCAATCTTTTGGCTTTTAATAAGCCTGACATAGTGACTTTTTCCAGCTTCAATTGAAACATAAATGAAAATGAAAATATAATTTCATTTACATATAAATTAAATTAAAGCCAGTTATAGAGTGATTGTCACTTGAAGTTGGGGAAAATAAGACATTTCAAAAGTTTTGTAAAGAGAATTTTGAAGAGGAGCTACTTGGAATTAAGGGTCTAGTGACCATTGCACATTTACAGCCTCAGTCTGATGCCTACATGGTTGAGGCAGGTTTTTTGATCAGGGACCTTATGATTCTGTAGGTCATTAAAGCACTTCAGTTCTTACATGGATATTTTCAACAACAGTGTTTGCAAAGGACCCCTCCACAACACATGAGGGGCATGCTCAAGTCCTGAGACCCTTGGGGGAATCCCTAGTTGTGATTTTTTCTGAGATGAGACTAGGCTTCCTGGTGCTATATAAGAGCTGCCAGGAAATATAGAGGACCTGGGGGTAGTTCTTCAATACTTGCAGTTCACCCTTCAAAGTCCTAGTCTCATGCTGAACACTGGAGGGGCAGAGGGGCTGGGGCTGAGAAACTAAGTACTCACCAGGGGGTTTAGTTTGAGGTCAGTGTGTATGAAAACACAGCACTTAGAAGGGCTCAGAGAGTGTTTGCNGTGTGTATGAAAACACACAGCACTTAGAAGGGCTCAGAGAGTGTTTGCCTGTTTCCATGGCTGGTCCTTCATTCTCTGCCTCACGGCAGACTTACGCAGCCTTTATTTTCCACTGGAATTAGCTTGAACGCTTTATCTAAGAGATACCTGATTTGCTTCAATCCAGTTCTTGAATAGAACATAGCAACAGGAGAATTTCGTTGGACTTTGTTTTTTTCTTTTTTTTTTTAACTTTTTTTTTTTTTTTTCCATCCACTGATTTTCCAGAATTTTCTCTGGAAATTTTAAGTGAGTTCACTGTTTAATTTCTTTTCCCAAGACTCATGGAAATGATAACATACATTTGCTTGTGATACTTTGTAGTTTTGTGAGCATGTATATAAGGAAGTGATTGAAGCAATCATTTTCCTTGTATGCATGCCAAGTGTTGAATATCGTACAGCTGGGGACAGCAACAATGTGGGACAAGTAGAAAGTTCAGAAAGAATTAAAACTTGCATAGGTGTTCTTAGTGAAAGGCTTTGGGAGATGGTTATCTGAACCCAGTGCATTTTTTAGAGTTTATTATAAATAAGGATGTTGGGGAAGTTCTATTTACTTCTGTTCTCTAGAGCAATGCTATATCAGACCAGACTAGTCAGCAAATCTTTTAATAATTAAAAAATATCTAAAATACTTTGCATTTTCAGTAAAATATATCAAAATATGTGTACTATTTTAATCAGTACAAAGAAAAGGTTAAGTGAATTTTTATTTTTCTTGATTTATAAACTTACCTTGCTTATACAATTTGCTTTTGAAGCTGTCTTTGTTTTTCCCCTCTTAATTTCTAAGCAACTTTCCTTTCTTCCTACAACTCTCCTGGTTTATGAAGCTGAGTTTGAAACAAATGACCCGAGTTGACAGTTCTATTTAGTGTGATCCTGTGAGGTGGAGCCATAACATCAGGTATATTAAGGGACTGTGGAATAAAGGATAATTAGGAAGAACTGCTTAGCAACTGAGGATGAAAGTGAATGGCATTTTATATGGTTTACAGTCTAAAGGGAAATTATGACAATTCCAAAGTCTCCATGGGAGGTTTTTATTTGTCTATTTTTGGTGTTTATAATAAAGTTATCCTTGTTGAGGAAAAAGAAGAGAGTGAAAATAGCCAAGAAACTTTTTTAAAAAATGCTATAATTTGCACTGTCCTGTACTATACATATTATAAAACTTGGATAATGCATACTGTGGCATTGGTTTAAGAAAAACAGAAAAATGGAATGGAACAGAAAACTTAGAAACAGACTCAGATGTTTATAAAATATTGTAAATGATAAACATGAGCTTCTAAATAATGGGGAAATGGCCGATCATTAATACATGGGACTGGGAAAAGAATAAGTTTCCTAAACCTGATATCATAAATCAAAATAAAGACCAAATAGAAAAATTACATGAAAAGAGTGAAAACACCAGTGAATGAGAAGAATAATAGCTCGACATTTTTGATGAGAGCATTCTTTCAAAGAATAAATTCCTTTCTTCCTCCTCCCTCACCCTGATCCCAGTTACAAATAATCTCTCCCCCAAGAAAAATTACATGAAAAGAGTGAAAACACCAGTGAATGAGAAGAATAATAGCTCGACATTTTTGATGAGAGCATTCTTTCAAAGAATAAATTCCTTTCTTCCTCTTCCCTCACCCTGATCCCAGTTACAAATAATCTCTCCCCCAAACTTCCATAAAATAATACTTACCATATGTGAAAATGATGAATTAGTAAAAATATTAGTGGCACATGACAAAGTGTTAGTAGCCTTAATATGTAAAGAGACTTTGTAAATTTATGAGAAAATGAATGTAATTTTCCATGAAGGCAGAAACCAGCATGCCATCTCCCCCCGCCTCCGACCCGAACATTCTCTTCCCTCAATCCAGCCAACTGTCTGGCACATAGTTGATATGCAATAAAAATGTGTTAAATGAACAAATGAATTACTGAAAAGATAAATATCCCAATAGAAATATATAGGTAAAGAATTTGAAGGGACTCTTTGAAAAGAAGTATAATGATTCATAAATATATGATAAGGCTCTCTAACTTCTCTAGCAATCAAAGAAATGCAAATGGGAATGCTATGACATTGTCTTTTGAGTTTGTCAAAGTTGACACAGTTAATCGTGTTTGAAGAGAATAATGAACCAGATGGTGGAATTGTAAATTGCTATAAGCTGGAGGTTTAGTTTTATGTATCAAAAACTTCAAAACATCTCTATCTTTTGATTAAGAAATGTATTTTGATGTAACATCAGAAATAGTCAAGATTTATAGATAAAGTTATACATTGCTTTGTTATTTTATTCAAACTGGACCTTGTCTATATGTCCATAAGATTGGATGATTTAAATTAATCACAGTGCATGTATAACATGAAATAATAAGCAGCCATTAAATATGTGTTTTAGACATGGTAGTGTATCTATGTCAGTGCTACTTTCTCAATTTGTCCCTATGGTAGAAGCCAACACAATATTATAAAGCAATTATCCTCCAATTAAAATTTTTAAAAATGTGTTTTTGAGATTATTAGTGACACGAGAAAATAATTAGGACAAATAATGTGCAAACAGCAAGCTGAAAAAATTCTAATTCTTGAGTGTTGTCTTCACAGGTGTTTATGTTCATTGTTGTTCAGCCACTCAGTCATGTCTGACTCTTTGCTACCCCCATGGACTGCGGCATGCCGGGCTTCACTGTCCTTCCCCATCTTCTGGAGCTTGTTCAAACTCATGTCCATTGAGTCAGTGGTGCATAGTTTGTTCAATTCTGTGCATCCGAGATTCAAAAGAGTGGGAAGCAACATGTGTAGTAGACCAATGGTCAGTGACAAAGGCCCTGGCTCTTAGGCTTTGCAGAAAAGAATTCCCACAAAAGATGGAAAGTAGTGAAACAAAGTGTTTATTAGGAAGAAAAAAAAAAGAGTACAGTACGTGTAGATAGACACATGTGTGGGCTCAGAGAGAGAGTCGCTGAGTCACACCCTTGTGGCATTTTGAATTACTTTAATGGGGCATTTCTTCCAGGTTTCCTTTGGCCAATCGTTTTGATTTGCCTGACTCTGAGTCCACATTTGGTGTATCTGAGTCCTCCTGTGTGTGCATGCACATCTCTTAGCCAAGATGGATTCTAGTGAAAAGGTTTATGGATGGTTCATATCACTTACTATGAGATGACTCCCCCTCTCTTTTTGACCTCTAAAGTGTCTTTCTGCATACGTGTAGTTAGGGAGATCTGACTTTGAGAATGAAGAAAATGAAGTCTTTTATCTCTTATCTGTGCAGGGCTCAGCCTCCTCCATCATCCTGCTTTTATGGAGTTTTTGCTATTACGGAGTTTCTGGCCACAGGGGAGAAACCATTCAGCCTGGAGCCATCTATCTCCTGCCTCCGTAGGAGTCTCCTCTAGAGATATCAGAGTGAGCATGTCCCTGTGACACCTTGATTTTGGACTCCTGGCTTCTGGAACTGTGAGAAATAAATGTCTGGTGTTTCAGGTCCCCCAGATTGTGGTCATTTGTGTTGGCATCTCAGGAAACTAACTCACCCTGATCAGGTGACAAGGTCAGAGAAAGTCCAGGGAAGGAGGGGGCACACCTGGGCCCTTTAGTGGTGACAGCCCTCATCACTGCAGTTGACAAATGGGACTGCTCTGTCTGGGACTCCGGCTCTGCTTCCCTCTCTTAACATCCGTGGCCCTTTGTTTGCACTGTCTTCGTAAACATGAGTCATAAATCAAGCAGTGCCTTTAGGGATCTCATGGAAAAGGTGCATACATCTTTTTGAATGCTTGCTTCTTGCATGAATTTGGATGATATTCACTAGAGACATTTACAAGTCATCAGGCACAGAGATTACCCTCATGGTATTTTAGCCAAAGAAGTACCAGTTTTCCTTTTAATTTGGTAGTGTTTCTATGTGGCCATCAGGAAGAGAGAAAGGGATATTTGTCTTTGAGGGATATTTGTCTTTATCAAACTGGGCTATGAAGTACAAATTTTGAGATCCACGGGCTTCTTCTGAAGTTCTCTGACAAGGTGTGCTGGTTGGCAGGAGAAAAAGGTCCAAGCCCCTCTGAATGTTAAAAGATAAATGCCCATGCAGTTTTTAATAATTCAGAGAGAAGAATGACTGTAGGAATTCCCACTTTGCTGCGGTTAGGCCTCTCCCCTCCCTCCAGGTAAATTCCCAAACAAGGCCTGATGTATTATTTTGGCTTGGATAATTCAAGCAATATGAGATTTCAGAAAATTCTGATATCCATAGGTAGGGATCATCACCTTAAAAAAAAAAAAGTCTTAGCAGTGACCACTGTTTATAGTATAACAAGGAAAAAATATGAACTTGTAACTAGGCGGTGGTAGACACTAACGCCAAATGGATCCTGCTGCTGGTAGTTTATTTATGGCTGTGCTAGAATCTTAAGCAGAGCACAGAGAAACAGCTATTGCTGATTTAGTTATTAGGCATAAGCACAAAGGGTTAGGAGCTTCTGGGGCATTATTCATTGACAATAATCAGTAGCCTGCCATGAACAATGCTGCATGCTGTGCAAATATAGCAAGACTGCCTTCATAAATAATGCCAGAAACACTAGCTTGTGCCAAGGCAGATAGGATATATCGATGGCAAGTTAATGTGTTAGGCCCCTGGGTTTGCTTAATTGTGCAGGCTGACTTACCCTGGGCCAGTGAAGAGAATTGCTTTAGCTTGATGCTAGTTCTGGAGTCTGTCATCCTGCTCCTCCCAGGCTTCTTCTCATAATGATGCAATTTGCTTGACTCTCAGTGAATTCTATCTTCTTACAATATACAGTGGTGCTGTCCTTCTAATTTTGGTGATGAGAATGGAATGTGTTTTCTTTTCTCGTAATTATCTTCTACCAGCAACAGAAATGGATGTTTAGTCTGCCCAGAGATGTCATTGTCTGCTAAGTCTGCTCATTTTTAGCTCTTTATATGCACAAGAGGTAGCAGCCAAAACCCTTTGCTCAAGTTATATGAAGTGAGTATTACTCACATTCTCAGGCCACAGCACAGAGGTGGGAAAATGAGAGACAAGGTTATTTATGGGGAATTCCTCTCCAGAATGCAACCACGTAGCACGTGTTTGAAAGACAAGAGGTTTCTGTAGGAGTACCCAAGACAAGGGTGTTTTGTGTACAGAATCACACCAAATGGCAAGGTGGCAAGCAGAAGAAAGGCTTCTTCTCATAATGATGCAATTTGCTTGACTCTCAGTGAATTCTATCTTCTTACAATATACAGTGGTGCTGTCCTTCTAATTTTGGTGATGAGAATGGAATGTGTTTTCTTTTCTCGTAATTATCTTCTACCAGCAACAGAAATGGATGTTTAGTCTGCCCAGAGATGTCATTGTCTGCTAAGTCTGCTCATTTTTAGCTCTTTATATGCACAAGAGGTAGCAGCCAAAACCCTTTGCTCAAGTTATATGAAGTGAGTATTACTCACATTCTCAGGCCACAGCACAGAGGTGGGAAAATGAGAGACAAGATTATTTATGGGGAATTCCTCTCCAGATTGCAACCACGTAGCACGTGTTTGAAAGACAAGAGGTTTCTGTAGGAGTACCCAAGACAAGGGTGTTTTGTGTACAGAATCACACCAAATGGCAAGGTGGCAAGCAGAAGAATGACCCCTCAAAGATGTCCATGTCCTAATCCTCAGAACCTGTGAATGTTTCATGGTACATGGCAGAGGGACTTTGCCGATGTGATTAAATTCAGGATTTTTAGATGAGAAGACTATTCTGATAATTAGATAATTAGAAGACTAATTATCCAAGTAGACCCAATAGAATCCCAGGGTTCCCTGGTAAATGATAATGGGAGGCAGGAGAATTAGTGTCAGAGTGACTTAGCATGATGAAGACTCACTGGCCATTGCTGGCTTTGAAGCTGGAAGAGGGCTGTGAGCCAAGGAATGTAGGCAGCCTCTAGAAGCTGGAAGAAGCAAGAGAATAGATTATTCCCTAGAATCTCAGGATGAATGCAGCCTTGCATTTAATTCAGTCCCTTTAATTCAGTCCCATGGGACTTGTGTTAGACTTCTGACCTTCAGAGGTATAAAATAATAACTGTGGTTCTTCAACCCACCACACTTATGTTAGTTTGTTATAGCAGTGCTAGGAAAGAAATACAGAAAACATAATAAATGATTCATACAGACACCTTTATAAGGTGATCAGGTTCACTCACTTACATGAAGAACATATTGAGCCTTATTATGTGCTCACTGTAATATATTAGCATATGCTAAATGATGCCGACAAGCACTCTAACAGTTCTGAGGCCTGCCATAAAAGGTTAAAAAGTGGGCAGTGGCCCAATTCCTTGAAATACCTGTGCCTTTCCCCAAATAGTTGGAATAATCCTCCCTCTTATTAGCCCATGAAATTACCCAGCTCATAAAAACTAGCCACACCTACATTCCCGGGCTGCCTTATCTTCTGAGATGTACTGAGTTCAGTCTATGGAATGTATGTCTTTCTATTAAAAAAAAAAAAATTTATGCTTTCACTTAAAAAAAGAGCATATTTAGCATTGTGTTTTGGCACCAGCAGTGCATCAGTAAATCATATATGATCATTAATTTATTCTCAAAATACTTGCTTAGTGTCTGCTCTCTGCCAGGCACTGTTCCAGAGAATACAAGGGGTAATAAGATGGGGAAGATTCATGTCCTCCCATAGTTTATGCTTTTGTACAAAAGAAAGCAGATAAAGAGCAAGTGAATGAATAAGATCAGTGCAAGTTGTATTAACTTGCACTGTATTAAGTGCTACAGGAAAAATTAAAACAGGGTAGGTGATAAAGATTAACTGCGGAAAATCTCCCTTAGGTCAGCCGGACAAAGAGCTGAGAGCCTCAGCTGGACAAAGAAAGACTCTATGAAAAGAAGGTGACATTTGGGCTTAGGTCTGAAGGATAAGAGGGTGGCAGTCTTGATAAGCCTGAATGCGGAGCATAGAATGTTTAAAGAAAGTGATGGGCAAAAGTCTCATGATGGACATAAGCTTAGCAAGTTGAGTAACGGAGCCGGGTGTGTGAACAGATGATGGCGTGAATGGGGTGAAACAGATTACTCAGGGCTTCAGGCCATGGTAAAGAATTTGAATTTTATTCTAAGAGAAATGGTAGACCAATGGAAGTGTTTCAGCATGAAGTGGCGTGAACTAATGGATGTTACAGTTTATTGGATGACCTTGAAATAATGAAAGCGCTTTTGTAGTATTATTCAAATTTGGAGCCTAAAGTGAATTTAGAGATCATATAGCTTGATTTTCTCATCTTAATGGAAACTGCTGTCTTCATTGATTAGCTCCCTTGCCTGGGACACAAGCCTGTCTCTTCTTTCCAGTTTGTATGCTTTTTACTGGGCTCTCCCACACCTGCACACAAGGTTACCAATTTTTTCCTCGGTAATTTTTGTAATCATTTAAAAACTTTTTTAAGTTTTTATTGAGATACAATTGACATATAACATTGTGTAAGTTTAAGATGTATAATGTGTTAATGTGATTGCATATATATTGCAATATGAATACTCCTGTAGTGTTAGCTAACAAACACCTCTATCATATCATATAATTATTTTTTATGTGTTAACTGTTTATTTAAAATCATAAAAGCTTATTTTCAGATTCAGATAATTTTTAATTATTCAAAGGAAGAGGAAGAGACTGACAGAAGATTCCAAAGAATGGATAATTCCCAAATCACTTCTTTCTTCAGTACTGAACTTCTTTCTTCCTCCTTTCTACTGAGCTCACTCAGGAACCCAGGATCTCTTGTATAGATAATGAAATTATTCTTATAACTAGTGGACCTGGCTCTTTGAAATTGAAAAGAAAAAGTCCTTGAGAAACAGACCCTCCACTTGTGCTCTTCACCATGACCTTACTTTCATGAATGGCTTATTCTAGATCATTCATATTGTTTTATGAAGCAAGTTATTTCTAGCAACAACCTGCATAACATTTTGGTTTTTTCTTTTTATTTGTCAGAGAGAGAAAAAGTTAGCACTGAAAATTGGATGGTTGGCAGTTGCTAGGCACCAAGGAGGCATTCAGGAAGTGGCAATGAAACACGCATACATACAAAAACCATTTAAAAATAAACAGCCATTTTAATCTTTAACCACAATTCCAATGAAGCCGATTAAGTTATCTGATTACTAGTATTCTCCAAACAGAGATTTAACAAGAGAAGTGGGATAATATTTTTGAACTTACAATGCTGCATCAGTTGTGCTTACTTAATAGAGTTATTTTTCTTCTCAATGTTTGTCAGGTTCATTAAAATTTACTTTTATAATTTTCAGGCTTAGTAGTTGGGAAGGTGGATGGTTGTTTGCAAAGCAAAGTAAAATCTGTGCCATTTAAATTTCAGTAATGTTGGCTCAAATATTTCCCTAAGGAGACCCTTGTAATCTGGGTAGAAATGGAGTAGTAATTTATTCATTTCATGATCCCCAGTGATTTTTTTTTTTTCTACCATCATGTAGAGCTTCATGATAAGAGCTTCAACCTTCTGACCTGCTGATGTAGTTGATTCTGAGCATGAGATGTCTCACTTTCCTCCAAATCATTCCCTTTGTACTCATGGCTCCCCTAAAATAAGAAGAAGAAGCACCATGTCTCCCCTAAGGTCTGTGGAGCTTTAGTAATCTCTGTTGTAAATAATGTCAGCTTCATATACTGAATTTTATATCTATAGTCATAAACTACAATAAATGAGATACACCTAACTGTACCAGGAAGAGCAATGACCTGATAATGCGTTACTTTGCAGACTTAGTAACACAGGCTGATGGCAGAAACAGCATTGTGCAGTGGTTGAACACACAGTCTCCAAAGCCAGAATGCTTAGGTCTGAATCTTGCTCTGCCATTGACAAGTATGTAGTCTTAGGCAAGTGACTTATCTTCCTTTTCCTATTTTTCTCATTTTTAAGATGATGAAAATAATAGTAATGTCCTCATTATTGTTAAGATGGTTACAAGGAATGATGTTTGTGAAGTTTTGGAAAGTGCCTGACAGAATCAATATTATATACGTCATCTGATAAAGTGAAATGTACAAATGTACATAGGATTGATCTCTTGTCACATCCTAGTATTTTTCCACTTTTCTTTTCACCCCTTTTCTTAAACTATACCTTGAAAAAGGAGATTTTAAAAAACTTTATATTTTGTATTGGGGGATAGCCGATTAACAAACAGTGTAGTGATAGTTTCAGGTGAATAGTGAAGGGACTCAGCCATACATATACATGTATCCATCTCCCCTAAACTCATGTCCCATCCAGGTTGCCACATAACATTGAGCAGAATTCCTTGTGCTATACATCAGCTCCTCATCAGTTATCCATTTTGATTATAGCAGTTATACATGTCCATCCCAAACTCCTTAACTATCCCTTTCCGCCCCTACCCCCACTTCCCAGCAACCACAAGTTCATTCTCTATGAATCTCTTTCTGTTTTCTAAGTAAGTTCATCTGTATCATTTCTTTTCAGATTCCACATGTAAGGGATATTATACAATATTTCTAAAAGAAGCTTTTTAATTGCTACCAAAAGACCAGGCCTTATGAATTAAGAAATAAATACAACATGTCTATATATAGCAAGTCAGTCCTTGCTTTTCCCAGTTCCCTTGTGTACAGAGCTCAGTTATCATGGCTTAGTTAACACTCGGTCTCCAACAACAAGATTCAAATAATCATGGCTTAGTTAACATTAGGTCTCCAACAACAAGATTCAAATTTCAGTTACTATAGCGTGTTAGCTGAGCAGGCGCACAGTGCAGACTCCCTGCTTGCTCTTCAGTTTTGCACTCACTGAACAAATGCCCATCCCAGTGAGTAACCAGTCATGGTACTTCTTTCAGAATTTGTCAGAGATCGATCACTGCATGTCCATTATTCAGCAAAGCATGCGGTTGTGCTGCTTCCTTGTCTCCCAGTGATAGACCCACGTGACATTTTCCACAAATGGATAATGAACAGAAATATGAAAATGCAATGAAGAGACAAGTGATAGCATATTGAATGAACATAAATGGGGCTCTAGAAGAAAGAGCAGGGTATGGGGAATGTTGACACTGGCCCACTTGAAGAGACTAGATATGCAGCCAGAGTAACTTAGTGAAAACTTAGTGAAGGTGATCTTATCAACATAAAGAAGAAAGTGTAACAAAAAGGATAAAGCTGTGACAAAAAAGAATAAAGATCTTAGAGAAAGTGACCTCCTCACGTAAAAAGAACTCTCAGTGATATTTCGCAATATTGAAAGCACAAAGTCTAAAATATTTGAAGCTGATCAAAACTTAGTGCTAAGACAATTCCCCAAAGCAGGAAAATGCTCTTTCTGCCTCTAAAGTTATTCCATGACAAGGAGAAGCAAACACTGTTCAAACTACTCTTGATAAAAACCCAAAGAAATAATTTTAAATCCTCAACAGTTCTAATATTTTAAATACAATGTACTAAGTAAATATTATATTTATTTTCTTTTATCTTTCCCTTGGGCTTCCCTTGTAGCTCAGTCGATAAAGAATCTGCCTGCAATGCAGGAGACCCAGGTTCGATTCCTGGGTCAGGAAGATCTGGAGAAGGAAATGACAACCTACTCCAGTATTCTTGCCTGGAGAATCCCATGGACAGAGGAGCCTGGTGGACTGTAGTCCATGGGGTCACAAGTGTTGGAAATGACTTATAGACAAAATACCACCACCATCTTTCCCTATGGGCTTCCCAGGTGGCTCAGTGATTAAGCATCTGCCTGCCAATGCAGGAGACACAGGCTCAACCCTTGGGTTGGGAAGATCCCCTGGAAGAGGAAATGTCAACCCACTCTAGGTATTCTTTCCTGGAGAATCTCATGGATACAGGAGCCTGGTGGACTACAGTCCATGGGGCTGCAAAGAGTCAGATATGACTGAGCAACTGAGCACACATGCATATTTCCCTACACATTTATGAACTATGGTGAGAGGGTTTTAAAGTTTTGACAAGCATTTTTAAAAATCTTTTTTTTTTAATTATCTTTTAATGATTAATATCACTTTGTGTAGTCTCAGCTTGCATGCTCATTTATCTGGCCCTGGACTACTGGGCAAAGTAAGGACTACCTGTACTATTTTGAAGACAGACAGTGCTAATGCAATAAGAGGGTGGGAAAAATCATCTGAGCAAAATGATTTTGCTGGTTGAGGAAGAGCCTTTAAAACAAAAGTTTTATTCAAACATAGCAAATTATTCTATCCTTGGGATATTTCTTGATCCAGCATTTAATCACCATTAAATACTGTCACAAAATTGTATTTATTGCATTACTCAGAACTGAGGATTCTCTAAATAGATCAAAATACCTGAAGTCTGCATTCTCATTTCCTGGCCCTATATTTTTCATGGGAAAGGAATTGAAGAAGTCTTTTCTTTTTCCTTAAGCAGTTCAAGAGAGCGTGTCATTGGACATAAATTATATGCTCAATATAGAACTTGAATTGTATAAGATCTCACAGTAAAGGGCACTGAATGTCAATGTTCATCTGAAATAACAGAGAGTATTATAGTCATTTTATCCAACTTGAGAATGAACACAAAATTTAAGGTTTTGTAAGTAGGCATCAATATTATTTTGATATTTATAGACTCCTTAATGTTTTTAGGTTGGAAATAGTCTGAACTATTAGTTTGGTTATATCTTTCCCATCTATTTTGAACATTTAAATACAACGAACTTGTAATTAGGAGTTTTGACACATTTTAAGGATTGCTTGTAGGTCATCAGTCTTAAGAATAATCCTTCTTAATTCAAGATTATGTAATATTAACTCTTCCTTTTTCACACAGCTTCAATCAAAGGGAGACTTCTAGGTTTATTGAATGGAACCTCTGCTTCTATATCCTCCACTAAGAGACAACATTAGGGTCATAAGAAGACCTTCACAATTATCACTTTTCAAGCTGTAAATGGTCAAAGTAAAATCTCTAAGGATCAGGAAGTGTCAACAGAGTCTGGGGCTTCATGGTTCTGGTTACTGAGTCTCATTGCCTCACGTTGTTTTTTCTTGATTCTTTCTCTTGGGAAGGTTTTCAATATTAGTTAACACCCACACTTGGCTTCATGCTACTTGGGTTCTTAAGTCAGTTAAAATTACCAGGAAATCCTGATGATTGCAAATAGCTCACAAATATAACATGTCCATTTATAATCACAAGAAGAGAAATGCAATAAAAAATTAGCATCAATGTAATAGACAAAGCACAAATGATAGACATCATGCCTAGTTGGTGGTAGAGTGGAAAAAGTCTTCCTTAATTGTTTGCTTCTGAGACTGTAAATTAGTGTATACCTGTAAGTAGGAATAGAAAGTGACATAATTTAGCAATATCCATCAAAAGTCAAAATGGGGACTCTTTAGCCACTAATTCCACTTGCTATACTTATCTAACATCTTGAATATTTATGAAACTATAAAAGTACAAGAACACTCACTGCAGAATCATGTATAATATTGAACTATTGAAGAGACCATGTAACAGGATGCAAAAGCAAAATTTCTACCAATATGACAATAAAATAAAATTTAAATACCAAGCCAGTTTTAAAGTAGATCTCCTTATGCAGACTTTACAAAGATGTTACAGAAATGGTTTTGTGACTCTGAACTCATTAGCCATGGACAAGGATCACAAGGAAGGGTCAGAAATTGGAGAGATGTTCTACAAGGTCATTATTTCTAAGAGGTAGGAGAGACATAATAGGTATCCTAGAGATATAATGGGTGCTCTGGAGAGGACCACTCAGAAATATGTTCCTAGAAGTTGAATGTTGATGGAGCTTAGTGCCTGGTCATGTCCGAGTTTCCTCTGGGCGGATATGGCACACTGGATGGCAGGTGGAGTGACTTCATAAGTAATGTGGCAGGGGAATTCAAGTTTCAGATAGAACTAAATTTGGTGAGCAACTGACCTTGAAGTAGGGAGATTATCTTGGATTATTCTTGGCCCAATGTAGTAGAAAATTTAGATCCTGGAAAGTGCTGAAAAATAATGAATCTGTGTCCAATGGGAGAGACAGTTTGGTTTTTATTTATTATATTTTTTGAAATTTTTAGTTGCACTGGGTCTTTCTTGTTGTGCAGCGTTTCTCTAGTTGCAGAAGGTGGGGGCTACTCTTCATTACGGTGCATAGTCTTTTCATAGCACTGGCTTCCGTTGTAGAGCGCAGGCTCTAGAGTCTGGATTCAGTATCTGAATCCAGGGACTTTATCATTCCCTGGCATGTGGAATCTTCCCAGACCAGGGATCAAACCCATGTCCCCTCCATTAGCAGGAGGATTCTTATCAACTTCACCACCAGAGAAGTTCAGAGGGAGAGTCTGGAGTGTGCCTGGGTGTGTGCTATTCAGCTGGTCGTCACCTTTGCTCACAGGGATTTGTGTTAGAACCTCAGAAAGAGGAGGAAGTCACTGCATGCTCACAGCTTGTGGTGGGTGAAAGGCATTTCTCCCCTTCAGCAAAGTAACTTTTTTTGTGTCAAGGAGACAATACAAGGAAGCAGCAAGTGACATTAGAGCAGTCAGTATCAGGAGCCAGAGAAAGCATGGTTACCTGGGCAGTGAACTCGTGGCAGGGCAGCAGAAGGCTTTGGGGTGGCATGCAGAGACTGTGTCATCATAACAGGGGCAACCGAGGAAGGACAGGGCAGCAGGAATGACCCTGACAAAGCATCACCACTGCCCACTCACCAGCAAGGAATTCATCCATTCACACATTCTGAAGCTCATGCAAAATCCATAGGGCCTTCTTTAATGAGTTTGGGTGAATTTGGACCTGCTGGAAGACAGGGTATGGCTTTCTCAAGTGCTGCTGGAGGGGACTGAGTTAGAAAAATAATGTTTTTTTTTTTAATAACAATTTTGAGCATTCTTTAGCTCTCATTCAGTGTGATTTAGGGAAATATGGGTAAAACTACATTAGGACCAATTCAGACTTTAGAAATCTAATTCCTGCTTTACTTCCATCTTCTCTATTAAGAGGAATAATTTTCACATTAGGAAGAGCAGAGTCACTGTGGTTAAGAAAAATATCAAATAACAATATAGGTGAGTAGATGATTACAGCATATTTTTCTCATAACGAAGAAGTTGCTGATACGATTGTGAAGCCATTATAAATTATCTTCAAAAACTTACAGAAAATAGAGGAGATTCCTCAGATTTTTTTCTTTCTTTCTTTTTTAAGTTTTCTAAAAGGGAAAAAGACTGCTGGGGTCATATATGTGATTTCAATGCTTAATATACTTTCAAATAGGATTATGAGGATATTTTTGGATCAAAAAGAACTAACATGGATTCACCAAGAATATGTCATGTGATTTAATACTCTTGAGTAAAGTATATTTGTTATAAATATAGTCTTTAAAATTCTTCGTGATGAGACAATGAAATATGACTTTGATCATATATCAGCTGCCCTCAAACTGAATATGTACTTTTGAACTTTATCCATAACTTGAATGATGATGAAGACAGCCAATTTATTCAACTTTTGAAAGATATAAACATAAGATTCTAAAAGATGAGCATCTTAGTAGCGTAAAATAATGAATTAAAATTAATGAGATGCAATGCAGCAACAACAAAAAATGAATATAAATGACCATGTCTTTGTTTAAAACAATAAGTGCAAAGTGCAGATTTGGGGAACTTTAATATAATGCAAATTAATGTAAGATTTTAGTTGGCCAGGGCAAATTGAGTGGATGTGAATGATGAAAAGGCTTATGAAATTTTGTTTCGCATAAATAAAATTTAGTGCCCAGAACAAGGAAAGTAAAAGCTCACTGTTCTCTGAACAGCAGAGACCTTTTTATAATATTGGATTCAGTTTTATTGGATTTTACCAAGAGTTGAACACATTAGGGTATAATTATTGAAGAATGGCCAGACTCAGAGAAATTAACCTGGAAAATAGAAAACTTGGTAATACACAATAGCTACACTTGAATATTTGAGAGATGGTCATGAGGAAGAAGCATTAGATTTTGTTCTCCAGACTTTCATTTGAAAAAATTATAGCATGGTGGTCAGTTGAATGCTCTGACTTGAGGTGGTGAGAGATGCAGCGTGAGGATAAAAAAGATCTAAGTGTGAAGAGGTAGCCATGTTAAAGATGGTGGATGAGAGCACAGAAGGGCTGTAAATGGAGGGACAGGAGCAAGTTAATATTAATATTTTTGGAGAATCTCTTTAGCCACATTGGGACAGCAGAGGCTGACAGAAAAGGTCTTGTGAAGAGGGTGATTCCAATGAGCTGCAGTCTGGATAGAATAATCTCCAAGACTTGTGGATTTTAACTACAAATGTCCAACTTTGGAGAAAATTGAAGCACTACTTAATTGCCTTTCCAGAATTATCTTGTGGTCACAGTTGCTCTTATAATTAACAGAAAGGCAAGGTTTATATTTCCTTGAGAAAATTTCAAAATTCTAATCTGTAAATAGCTCACACAGAAATACAGTGAATGCAAAAATGGAACACTAATAAATTATAAACTGGAATTTAATTAGCAGAGAAAACTAAGCATAAAACAATTCAAAACAGTCTTCCCTGAGACAGACTTTAGTTTCTGAAGCTCTAGAAAATAAGCTTACTCATACACAGAAAAAATTTGGAATTAAGATATGGTTACCACCACCATCAAGACCAACGAAAACATAAACCCCAACACCTCCACAAGCACTATTAGTATAATTTGTTTTCCCTCTCAAGTCAGTCAGTTCAGTCACTCAGTCGTGTCCAACTCTGCGATCCCACGTACTGTAGCATGCTAGGCTTCCCTGTCCATCACCAACTCCCAGAGCTTGCTCAAACTCTTGTCCATTGAGTCGGTGATGCCATCCAACCATCTTATCCTCCGTCATCCCCTTCTCCTGCCTTCAGTCTTTCCCAGCATCAGGGTCTTTTCCAATGAGTCAGTTTATTGCATCAAGTGGCCAAAGTAAAGTAGACAACAATAAAATAATCCAAGTCATGTCTCAGCAAAGAACAGATCTGTTTATTACCTATTGTGAGGAAGACTAAATAGAGACCAAAAGACTAAACTTGTTAAGTAGGGTCTATACTTCATTTCTCAGCTGGAATCACATCATTTGCTAGCTTGGACTAACTTCATTTTCTTATTAGCTTTGTTGGTGATACCTACCAGTGAATACAGATATGTGTGTGATCTTTCCAAGCCTTTCCTTTTACAGAAAGATTGTGGGTCAGCCAATATCTTTATGCCCTATTGAACTAACAAGTGGGGATGAAATGGCGTAGTAGGATGGATACTGGATTAATAGAAGGTTCAATTGAGTGGAGTCATGGTTAAGTATGGGTACTCTGGAATCAGTCTGAGTTTGGGCAAATCTTGATTCTCCTATTTGCAAAGCTATTTGACTTGGCATATATTACTCAATCTTTCTGTGCAACTCTACTTGCCTATCAAATGAGCTCTTAAATACTTCATATTATTGTTAAAATGTCAAAAAAGTCAAAATAAGTAAAATCTTATAGCTGTGCCAGATACATGATAGGTAATCAAATGAGGTTAGCTATTACTATTAGTCCTGACTGTGGTTCAACTAGTTCTCATGCAGATTAAGATCATTAATTTCTTTGGAATTTGGTTTCCTGGATTTGGAAGCCACTCGACTAGAGGCTGGCAAATGACCCTTTCAAATTGCTTAGTTAATATTGTCATCATTTCTTTCTAACATTTTCATTTATGAATTATATATTGACTACTTATTATGTATTATGTACAAGGAATTATGCCTTGGAATAATTTTATTGGCCTTCAAGAGTTTATAAAATATATATAAAGGAGATAAGACATGAATGTGTAACCCCCATGCAGTTTCCATGGGGCAACTTCTGTGTGCTCTATACTGTGTATAAGGTTCAAAGAGAACAGGAGAGTGGGAACTAAAAGAGAAATGTTTGGGTAGAGGTAATACAGAGAGTGAAAACATGGAGGTGGGAAAGGACAAAAAAT